TATATATATATATAAAAAATATATATATACATATAACTGGATCGAATTCAGCTTTTGTTCTGGTACAGCTTTTCCTTTTCAGCCTTCCTTTCAGCAAAATTTACAGTGACATAAGGTTGGTCAAGAGCAATTTTTTAAGCCATCTTGAGCAAGCTGTAAATACAGACAAGCAGATTAATTCCTAACACTTCCTAGCTTGCTGGGCTGAGTAGCATAGCATTGAAATATTGGCTACAGGGAAGCAACTCTGCAGCTGATTTAAGAGTTCGAGCTGGTGCTAATCCACTGTTAAGGAAAGTGCTTGAGGAATCTGAAGCAACAGTGAGGTGATTAAGTTATGCTTGAGCTGTCTAGAGTGAGTGTTTGATAATGTGGGGTTTTTTGGAGCCAGTGAGTTGTTCAGGAGACCATAATACATTTTTAACACACGTATTAAGAGAGAGTCCCATCTAGGCCTTAAAACAACAGTAATAGAAAAAAATTACTGTGTTAGGTTGTATTTTTTTTTTCCAGCTAACTACCTACAGAGCCTTCTCACAGAAAGCCTGGATCTTTCCCTATCCAGTCTGTCCAGTGAAGGCACCAGCTACCTCAACGTCCTGGTAAACAGCGCAATGACACTTGAAACAAAGGACACTTCTCTTGCCAGGTGATTATTCCCACTGTGCATCAGGAGTGATGGTCTATGCTGTTTCCCTCTGGTTTTTCAATTCAGCAGTTTCAAACTTGACTTTCACACCAGGAATCTTACTTGTCCAGCTTCTTTTGCACCCCTTGGGCAGCTTTGGAGGACACAGGAACCGAGCACAAAGCTCTAACTCTTGATTATTCTGGCAAAGGAAGTCTCCACCTGAGAGGTGCCTCAGCCACAGTCAAATCCTTCTTTTTGCCCCTGCTTTTGTGGTCAGTAGCCACAGGATGTTGCCACTCAGACTGTCATGCCAGCTAGCACAAGCTAGAGCAGGTTTCATACTGCTTAGGCAAGGACCAGGGAACTGTAACTGATCTTTCGCAGCCCCTCTTTCTTCCTTCTCTTACCTGGCCTCAGTTATTGTAAGGAGATTTCCTTAGTTCAGCTACAGAGAAATGGCAGCTGTTAGTCTGCTTTTCTTGGGCCCTTTTCCTAGCATGGCTTTGACCCATAACACAGCAGGTTTGTGCTAAGCAGTGGCAATAAGGAAGGGCCAAAATCTGCCTTGGAATCCAGTTTTTGTATTGATGTTCAGGAGTTTGGCTTTTACTGCTCTTCTGAGCTGGAGGGGCAAGCGGCTTTGAACCGTTTAGGAAGAGGAAGGGACTGAAATACTTCTGGCCATGTCGGGGGATGTGCTTTTTCAGGGACTGAATACAGTTTCCCTCAAAGGCAACTTGGCAGGCTGGAAGCAGAGCACCTGATTGTGTCAAACTCAGTGGTTGTATTCACTAGAGCGCCAGGTCTTGTTCACTTCCTCCTACTGAGATTGCTGGGCTGTTTCCTGTTTCAGATGACATCTTTGTTAGTTAAGGGAAGCAAATACCCTTAGTGACTTATTTTACTTTCCTCCTCTAAAATAGCTGGCAGTTATCTGATGTATCCTAATATGAAAACAAGAGAGTCACTTGTTGAAAGTGTGGAGAAAATAGTAATAATAATCATAATAGTAACAATTCTGAGTTTCAGAAGAGCTGACTGCTGAGCATTCACACTGAATCTTTTTTCACCAGCTTCTTCTGTGCCATCAATGATATGACTTCGGAGCTATATGCAACAGAATCAAAAAACAGAGAAATGGAACTGGAATTGACCAACATCAGGAAAAAACTAACTGCAGCGCTGATGCTGGAAAAGCGGCTAGAGGAGTGAGTAATGCATGAGAAAAGGGAAAGATGTGAGCAATACTGCTTATCTCTGCAATGTGCAACATTGGTTATAATAACTAACAAGGATAACTGAACTTTCAGGGCTTTGACATCTCTAGTTCACAATTTTTGGAAGTATCTATCAAAAGCCATGTGCTATGGACACATTCAATAATCAAAAAAGATTTGGGGTGCCATTGGACCCATTATTATAAACCAAAACTGGTCTACAAGCAGTTTTCAGATACGAGCTGGCATTTTCCACCAGTTGCCTTCATCTGAGGTTGAAGGCAAACCTGATTTTCTTACCACGTTTAGCGTGGGCTCTGTAGTCAGAGTGAAGGAGCCAGGCAAAACAAAAACCATTCCCAGGCAAGAATTTCCTTTAAGCAGTGTGTGGGAGACTTAAAAAAATTATTTTAAAAAATCAGTAACAAGTCCATTCCTTAGAGGATGTAATCTGAAGTGCTTTCTCAAACAAAGCAAGATCAGCCCCTGCTTTGAGTGGGGATTGGCCCAGATGATCTCCACAGCCCCCTTCCAGTCTAATTATTTTCTGGTTTTTGTCTTTTAAAGTAGTAAATTGTGGCGCTGTTTGTAGCAATCGTACCAGACCTGTGTGCTTTGTGCAGATTTGCCGTGGCCCTTCTCTGGTGTTAAGTTTAGCTTGCATGACATGTCTCTAACTGAATTAGGGAATTATGCAGAAGACTATTACTCTTTGCTTTTATGCAGATGGCTTTCCCCTTGACCTGTTTTTTCCCTGGCCTTTGGGACTCTGGATGTAACAGCTGTGGATGTTTCCACTGGGAAATCTCACAGGGAAATGCAAGTTTTTCTCCATTCTCTCCCTTCTTGTGTTGGTTGTATTAAAAGGTTTAGCATGAGCATAGATAATTAAGCAGTATTTTTATACTGGTATCTCTTTGAATGTGAAAGTTGGTTTCTTTTTGTATTTTTTTTTAAGGGATCTTAAAAAAACAGAGGAGCTTCTGGAATTAGAAAAGGCCAAAGCTGACAGCCGATCCCAGAACTTGAAGTTCCTTAAAGATAAATCTGAGGATTTAAAAATCAGGATCAAGCTGGCTGAGGTAGATGGAAGGAATTTTCTAACAAGACATTGTGACGGGATGGCAGTCATGGTTGGTTGGGCCCAAAATTGTAGTTACAGAGACATCCCAAGAGCTTCCTAAACTCCAGGACTGAGGACGCTTGGGCTAACAGGACAGCATGTTGCTACACTTCAGTTGTTCCTGCTATATTCAGGGTCTCTCCCCAGGACATCCCATGATAAATGCAAGAACACTTTCTCTTCTTTCACTGAGCGCTGTATTTGCTCGTATTAGTTTGGACTACCTTGTGCTTATTGTGAGATACTCTCATATAAGAGTATACAGGCAGCTATGAGTCGAGCAGCTGATCCACTGAGGTAAATTGTGCGTCAAAATTCTAAACAGAGGCATTTTTTTTTAATTAATGAATGATTAAACACAGAAGGCAGAAGTTGTACTGTCTTCTCCTTCACCTTCCTACATGTGAATGCTCTATTTAATAACGCTTGGATGCTGTCCGATACCTTGGCAAATATGGGATGGAAACCATTGTATTAGAGTTAATGATGCCTCTTCCCAGCCTTGCCATGTGCTCTTCTCTCAGTAGTTTTCTGGAAAGACTTGTTATTCTTGATATAAATTTTAGTAGCAACTGATTTCATATACCAGCTATAGTTGTGGTTCAAACAGCATGCTTCTGTTGTTAACAAACTGCATTCTGTTTGCCTGTTTAGATCAAAACCCAAGGAATGGTAAAATCTTTCTCCTCCCTGTTATATTTTGTGGTCAGTTGTGAACAAACTTTTTCCTGTTTGTAGGAGCAGCTTGCTGCCACGGGCTTGGACCAGTCGCTGACACATGAATCACTCGTGAGCCTATCTGAGGTAGGTCTTTTGGTACAAGATGGATGTTTCTGCAGTGGCACAGGCCAGGCTTGTTTGTTGTGTGGTTTCAGGAAAAATAGTTTGCCATTTGGTTACTGGAACAAATATTAATGGTAAAAAGAAGCACAAATAAAAATCCCATAGGTGGATGCCTCTGAACCGGGGTATGTTGGATGGGTTTGTCTCTCATAGAAACTGGGAAGAATCTATGGCTGCTGACGCGGTACGTTTTCTTCAGGGTTAGATGTGCGCTTATTCTGGACTTGGGAAGAAGCTTTTCTTCTGGCCTGATTGAGGGGAACAATCGGAATCTTTATTTTTGTTGCCGTTTGGTTTTCCCTCTCTTCTCTTCCTGCCTCTGTCAATAATTGGGAATATAGCCTACTAGAGAATTTCCATGAAATAAATTCCCTGCCACTGAAAGAAAATGGTCAGCCTGTGATCTGCATTCTCTCTTTGTGATCCGTGTTATAAACAGAGTGGATATTCTGTGAACAATATCCTGTTACATGGCTACCTGTGTATTGCAGTTACTTTATAGAATAACCCAGGTGATTCTTTTGAGTCTGTGTGAAATAAACCTGCTTTCAAACACTTCAGAGCAAATGGAGGAGGTCAAGTGAAATCCAAATTCTGAACCAATCAGTTCTGAACTTTTTTGTCTTGTGTCCTTAAATTTCATTTTTCGTTTTTCAGCTGTATTGTAAGCCCAGTGGGGTAATTTGTTAAAGGAAAAAGTACGTTTCTTGAGTTGCTAGCTATAGGTTCTCCAGCTTTCCGCTGAACGATTTGTACACATGTAACATGTATTTTTGTTGTTCTGTCTACACTCACTACATTGTAATATTATTTGTTATTACTGTAATGAGAACTTAGTCTTTCTCCCCATTTCTTTTTCTAGCTTTTCCTGCATGTTAGTCAGGTTGAACAATGAAAATAGGCTTCCTGATTTTTACGTTGTCATTCTCGGAACCAGCACTGGGTGGCAATGTTTACATTGCACAGTGTTTCAGAAGAGTACTTTCTTCAGAAAATTAATTTCTGTTGGAATTTTACATACAAAAGGTTGTAGGCAATTTTCTAGATTGTCTTCTAGAACCTGAGCATAAGGGCAGGTTTGACTCCCTGATGTTTCTGTATCTGCTTTGCCAAGAGCTCGGTGAATTGGGCAGCACAAATGACTATCTTCGGAGTGTGGGTTTTTTTGTTTTTACTTTAAGTTGATTATTTTAAAAAGTATTGAGGACTGTGGAAGGTGCTTAATTTTCAGCCTGAAAGAGAAATTTTTCCCCCTTGTTAACAGAATAAGCAAAGCAATGCAAGTGGAAAGGGAGTCTTTTTGCTGCTGCATGTGCAAAACTGTTTTCACACAGAAGCCATAGACATGAGAATGTATCCCCTTCCTTGGGGCTCAGTTCTCTCTCCGGCCTACAGTGAGGTTGACAGTGAAAGTCCTCTGTCTGTTGGATTCTCGTTTGAAATCCCTGCTCCTTTCAGGGAGGTGAGATCAGGTGGTTCTACTGCAAGAAAATGTATCTGAAGATGTCTTCAGAATGGAGAAAAATGAATTGATTGTATCTCTGCAAAATTTGAACTGGGTTTGACTAACTGGTAGCTGAATGAATACCAGATCTTTAGTTTCCATGGGTTTTAAGAAGGATCATGACAGTTCTCACCAACATCTGTGAATTCTGAAATGCTATAGATAATTGTGGATCTATTTCACTGATTTAAATCACTTCTACAAGTAAGACTATAGAATATAACCCACCTTGCTTTCTTCACAGAAACTGGCTGGACTGCAGGAAGAAATTGTGCCTTTGAAGAAGAAACTGGAGTCCTACCTAGATTTAACTCCTGTAATTTTTTTTTTTTACTGGTCTGTTTTATTTGCTATCAGATTAATTTTAATGGACCTCACAATGTAGAGGAGATTGTTGTGATGGTTTTAGTGGACAGGTAGATGTCCTACAGGTCTATTAATAGTCTAACCAGAAGACTTTACTTAAACAGAAGGCTATCTATTTATTAGTCAAAGCCAAGAAATTAAGTATGATTACCAGGCAAACTTTGTTCTAACAAAATGCACAGATTTGTTGGGTGCGCTCAGTATCAAGGCGAATTAGCTAGAAATTGGACAAAGAAATGTGGAAGAAAATACAAATTCCTTAGTATAATAATTTTTTTTGAGATTTACTAATATATTAGCTAGACATGTCATCAGACTGTCAATATGGTGGACACAGCTCGTTGTGCAGAGGTTGGAGCTCTGAGCAGGATTTTAACGCTTATGAAGAAATAGCCAAATGCAGGCATTGTCCCCTAAACAAGTACTCCAGCTTGTGAGTACTGGCTGCTTCATAGTTTTCTTTGATTTATTCTGAGGGTGCTGGGTACTCAGCTCTCCGAAATTGCAGATTTCTCATTTAGATGACTAAATTGCAGTTTTGAAAGCCTGTGTATCTCTTTTTCATTTTATATTTTGGCTGTTGTCACTATTGGTCCCTCTGCTAGGAGTTACTATCAGACTGCAATGGGGACCATCCTTTATAAAAAGGATTTTACTCTTTTCAAAGTAGAACACTTGTTACAAAAGACTGTTTTAGTTAAGGGTAATTTTGTGAACAACTTTATAGTAACTTAAAAAAATCATGGGTAAACAAGGCTTTAGTCCATGAAACAGAAGGCTTTGGCTTTGTGTGATGTCTATATATCATCACCTGTGATATTTGGGACCACTAAACACAAGTATTTCCAGTTTCCTTTGGAAGATTGCCACTGCTTTCACAGAAAAGTATTAAGGACTTTTATCTTTGTCGTTCAGAGAAATAGCAAAAACTGGAGTGTGAATAGCTGAATGGGTTTCGGTTTTATTAAGTACCATTGTAACTGTCTAGTTTACAGTTTTGTATTTGAGTTGCCTGATACGGCACCTGTTACCCTCTCATCTGAGCACCCTGCAGCCTTTCATAGAGCTAACCTCAGACCTCCCTGTGTAAGAGGTGAAAAAGATCTATTCCTGCTCTTATCAATGGGACATAGAGGTCCAGAGAAACAGAGACTTGTCCAAAATCACATAGAAACTCTGCGATTAATCACGTCTCCTGTATTATGAACTAGGGACCTGTCTGCTGGGCCACACTTCTCTCTTCATCTCCTTAGCCCCTCCATCGAGTTCCTGCCTCTCAACACATCTCCCTCCTAGAAGAAAAGGATGAAGGGAGATGGCGGGACTGCTTCTCTGTTAAATCCATCTTAGTCCAAGAGGCCGCTGCCTCCTTGCCTCAAGCAAAACGGGATGTTCGAATCTGATTAGGTTCTCCAATTCCACCCCCCTGCCATTTTGCTCTCGGTGGAAACAGAGAGAAACCTGTTGCCTCGCTCCTGGTGCAGGCAGAAGGAGGGAGGAAGGTTTATCCTTGCAAGCTTATTGTGCTTTGGAAAAATCCATGCACAGATGTGTTTAAAATCCAGTTCTTCAATTGGTAGGTTTGGAAAAATGCTAAAATTGGTTGGGTGTTTTTTTAAAGACTTCAGGCCATACCAGACTTCTGTAAAATATGTGACTGCCCAAACCAAACTGCTACTAGGTTTTTAATGTCTGTACCTTCTGCATGTGAGGGGTATACACAAAATTCAATTTTATTATCCCTAAATTCCCCTGTGGCACATCATTAGACTCCTGCAATGATGCAGGGACTCTGTCTTTCCAGATGAAATACTGATTTTTATGCCATTTTCTCTCATTAGAATCCTTCCCTTGCACAAGTGAAGATTGAAGAAGTAAAACGAGAACTGGTAAGAGGGGTTTTTTTTAATCTTTCACAGAGTTTTAAACGAGTGGTGTTGTTCCAAAACAAGCTGTATATTTTAATTGGTTGTGCATTTATCTACCTCAGATTGTAGTCTTAGTGATCTCTAGGGAAACTTTGCTCTGGTAAGGCAGAAGCAGTGCATATTGGTAGGAGGAACTGCTGGAGGAATAATATCTAAGCTACAAAGGCAGTTGGGTATAATGGTATCAGTGGGGATTAGGTATCTGTATCCCTCTGGACTTTGCTTCACCTGTCAGAATTTTTATTCACTCAGCTGTGTTGCAGCTTCTTGGTCTCACAACCTTCCTTGCTCCTCCTGAACTCTGAGGGCTCTAGGGCCCGTATTTTATTTAACAGCTGCCTTGTAGACTGCAGCGGGGACCTTTTGCTGTAAAACAATGCCCATTTCATCTATGCTTGTGTAATCTGCAGGTATATTGTTGGGAAACATTCATATAAATGCTGTTTGGGAAGTTCACATGTAGCTTTCTTGAGTGAGCTGGGACACATTTGAGCGTAAACCTGTCTATTTCTCTGGGCTACTGTCTGCTCGCTCATAGATACTACACAAGGTATTTGGTGATAAGCCTTAAAGCTATGATCAAAAATTGCAGCTGTTTGAGAGTATTTTGTACATTTTCAGATGGGACTGCTCAGGTTGGTAAGCCACTTGGTTTTGATTCAGAAATATAAGCTCGTCTCACCAGCTTGAGGCTTTTATCGGGTCAGAAAACTCACATCTGGAGTGTACCTCTTCAGCTTGGAGGTGTCTAATACCACATTGGGGCAGAGAATAAAGGCAACTGAGCTTGTTTAGCCCTTCATTTGGAGGTTTCTCTGGAGACTACTGCTGTGTTCAGTCTGGGGTTGAAGATCTGGTCAGATCTTCCAATTCAATACTGGGGTTAATCAGCGCTAATAATATCCCAAGATTTGATCATCATAGATATGTTTGTCTAACAATGTAAGAAAATTGTTTCACAGCCACTGAGTCCTCTTGGGTTTTTTTCTCCTGCTAGAACGCCTTGGAGGAAGAATTTTCAAAGCAGATTGACATGCTGACTCTTGAGATGCCAGAGCCCAGCAAACTCCACTTCTCTTGAAGTGGCCTGCATGGAAGAAGATTTCCCTTCTATTGTCTATTTATCTGCACTAATAAAACATTTTGGACTTCTTACTGTACTTCTGCAACTTTCTGCCTTTACTCTTTGTGCTGTTGGATGACACACATGTGACCTTTCAGCAAGCATACTCATTTTTAGGGGTTCATGGAGCCTTGCTTTTGTAAACATGATCTGTTTTTCATAAATTAACCCCCAAACTTACTGTTTTCTTTATCAGTTCTTTTTCCATATGTGATACACACCTGTCACTGGCCTCCAGATGGCACCTTCACCAGGACGTGTCCCTGCTGGGATTTAGTTGACCATTACCACTTGGAATTCAACTGATCAAGGAGTCTGGTTTTCTTCTTTTCCCTGCCTGGGCTCTGGATTGTGCTTTTCCCCTGCTGGATTGTGCAGCGTAAAACCATAGAATCATTTACGTTGGAAAAAACCCTTAAGATCATTGATTCCAACCATGAGCTGAGCACTGCCAAGTCCACCACCAAACCATGCCCTAGGCACCATGTCTACATGTCTCTTGAATACCTTCAGGGATGGTGACTCAACCACTCCCTGGGCAGCCTATTCCAGCGGTTGACAACCCTCTCGGTGAAGAAATTTTTCCTAATATCCAATCTAAACCTCCCCTGGCACAACTTGAGGCCATTTCCTCTTGTCCTAGTGCTTGTTACTTGGGAGAAGAGATGAACACCCACCTCACCACAACTTCCTTTCACGACTTGTGACCAGCCACTGACTGGATTTAACCCCATTCACCACAAGTCTTTGGGCTCAGCCATCCAGCCAATTTTTTACCCAGCGAAGAGTACACCAATCCAAGCCATGAGTAGCCAAGTTTCTCCAGGAGAACGCTGTGTGAAACGGTGTCAAAGTCCTGGTAAACAACACCCGCAGCCTTTCCCTCATCCACTAAGTGGGTCACCTTGTCATAGAAGGAGATCAGGTAGGTCAAGCAGAACCTGCCTTTCATAAACCATACTGACTGCGTCTGATCACCTGGTTGTCCTGTACGTGCCATGTGATGGCAGTCAAGATGATCGGCTCCATAACCTTCCCTGGCACCAAGGTCAGACTGACAGACCTGTAGTTCCTCGGATCCTCCTTCCAGCCCTTCTTGTAGATGGGAGTGACATTTGCTCACCTCCAGTCAGCTGGGTTCTCCCTGGTTAGCCAGGACTGCTGATAAATGATGGAGAGCGGCTTGGTGAGCATGTCCACCAGCTCCCTCAGTACCCTTGGGTGGATCCCATCCAGCCCCATAGACTTGTGTGTGTCCAAGTGGTGCAGCAGGTCGCTAACCATTTCCCCTGGGATTATGAGAGCTTCATTCTGCTCCCTGTCTTCCAGCTCAGGGACTGGGGTACCCAGAGAACAACTGGTCAGCCAAAGACTGAGGCAAAGAAGGCATTAAGTACCTCAGCCTTTCCCTCAGCCTTTGTCACTATGTTTCCCCCCGCATCCAGTAAAGGATGGAGATTCTCCCTAGCCCTCCTTTCGTTGCTAATGTATTTCTAGAAACATTTTTTACTGTTTTTTTACAGCAGTAGCCAGATTAAGTTCTAGTTGGGCTCTGGCCCTTCTAATTTTCTCCCAGCATAAGTAAGGATAAGTAAGACAATCTTCTGTCTGTTCCCTAGTGGCTTTGCATACTTGGATGGCTCTGAGTTATCTGCAACTTTCTCCCTGCATAACCTCACAGCATCCTTGCAGTCCTCCTGAGCTGCCTTGCCCCTTCTTCCAAAGGTCATAAACTCTCTTTGTTTTCCTGAGTTTCAGCCAGGCCAGTCTTCCTCCTTGCTGGCTTGTTTTTTGGCACATGGGGATGGCCTGCTCCTGCAGCTTGAAGATTTCCTTCTTGAAGAATGTCCAGCCTTCCTGGACTCCTTTGCCCTTCACAACTGCCTCCCAAGGGACTCAACCAGACTCCTAAACAGGCCAAAGTCTGCCCTCCAAAAGTCCAAGGTGGCAGTTTTGCTGACCCCCCTCCTTACTTCTCCAGGCATTGAAAACTCTTATAATTTTGTGATTGCTATGCCAAGATGGCCTCCAAGCACCGCATCACCCACAAGTCCTTTCCTGTTCACAAACTACAGGTCCAGCCTTCCCTAGTTGGCTCACTCACCAGCTGTGTCAGGACGTTACCTTCCACACAATCCAGGAACCTCCTAGACTGTTTCCTCTCCGCTGTATTGTACTTCCAGCAGACATCTGGTAATTTGAAGTCCCCAAGGACAAGGGCTAGCAATTGTTAGACTTCACCCCATTGCCTATAGAATATTTCATCTGCCTCTTCATCCTGGTTGGGTGGTCTATAACAGACTCCCACCATGATATTTGCCTTGTTGGCCTTCCCCCTGATTCTTACCCATAAACACTCAATCCCATTGTCACCATCATCAAGCTCTAGACAATCAACACACTCCCTAACATACAGGGGTACCCCACTGCCTCTCCTTCCTCGCCTGTTCCTTCCGAAGAGTTTATAGCCACCCATTGCAGCACTCCAGTTGTGCAAGTCATCCCATTGCTTCTCAGCCTTTTGGCTAAGATCAAGTGTAATACCAAGTGTGTAACATCTGAGCCCACAAAGCGGGGTTTCTTGTGTGTATGATGGCTGTCTACCTTCATGGAAACAAGCTGAGCTCTGACGAACATGGATCATAGCACTGGCTTCACTAGCAAACTGTGCTGCTGACACAGGTTAAGAGTTGAGATGAGATGTAGCTGCATCAACCTCCTAAGGTTCTGTCATTTTTTTTGTCATCTGAGAAAATGGAAACCCATGGCACTAACTTGTAAGGTTTGCCTGTGTTCTCAAGGCTTTGAGAGATACTAGCCTACTATGGACTACTTTTTGTTTCTCCCTATGTTACAAATAGCACTAAGCAAATGAAAGTAGAAAAATAGCTTTATGGATAATGAAGTATTGGCTTTAAGAACAAAAAAAGACTTTATAGCAAGAGCTTTCTAGGTCTGAAAATACATGAGCATTTTTGCAGAACTACTGTGGGATGTGATCATTTTGAAGCTAGATTGTCCCTTCCAATTCTACCTCAAAGGTCGCCTTCCAAAAAGGGTCACCAGAGCGCTCCTCTTATTTCCATGCCACTACCACACCAGCCTTAAACACCCCAGCTTTCTAAAGTTGCTTTGTACTAAAGCCAAAAATCTGAAAAGCTCCTGCGGGTGGGGAAAAATCAAAACCTAGAAATAGCGGCAGTACCTAAGGCCTTCAAACATGGCCTAGGGCAATGTCCAAAGAGCAGTGATGTTCTCGGGGACAATCTATAGCTACATCTATTTGCAATTAGAGCTGCAAAAGATTATGATAATGATTTAGCATGGTGTGCCTGTCCCCAGGAGCTGTTACTTTAATGCACAAATTGATTTCACTGACCTGCAGGAAGAGAAATTCTTTCTATTGCTTCACGTCCTCTCTTGAAGCAACAGGATCATGAGATCTGTATCTGATTATGCTTAGGGTGTAGCTCTGACTTCTAAGAAGCTGCAAGCTCAGAATAACATGGGTGGCAGTGAAGTGCCTTCCTCACCTCGTTTCTTGCACCTTAACGGAGAAGAACTGAAGGATGTTCAGAGCACCAAGCTCATGGCAATCTTCTGCCTCGTCTTCCATATGCCGGAGGGAGTTGCTGTTTAATTTCAGGTTTTTAAATCAAGAAGTTAGGAAGGGGCTAGTTGCCTTAGTTTCATGACTCTTTTATGTTTGACTCTGAACTAGAAATCAAGGTGGCAAGAGCAAGTGGAAAAGCCATCTTTTGTACATGTGGGCTAAACTGGCTTAGGGGAAATTACCTCAGAGGTAAATGATGTGAAATCTAGAGCAGGCATGGTAGCGCAGGGATGACAGGTAGAGCGGCTGCTTACAAAAAAAACCCCCAAAACACTGAAAGAAGGCAAGGGAGTAGTCTTCGAACCTGGAAAGAGCAAAAGCATAATCTGATCTTTCTTCTTGTGGAAGGGGAAAGAAGTCCTAGTCTTGAAAGGCATCAGAACATAGCTGGGTAGACATCTGAGAATGATTTAACAAGAAAGCCATTGTAAGGCACTGGAGGTCATGGCCTGAAGATTAAGGAATCTTAATCACTGGAGGCTTTTAAGAGCAGATCAGAAATGCTTTGCTTAAGCATTTATAATGCAAGGGAGCATTTATCATGCTTTGGGATAGGAAGATGGATTAGATGAGGGCTTGAGGATGCTACCAGCCCTCCTTTTCAATGAGAGCGTCAAGACTCACTCAGCTAACATTAGACGAAGGCTTTTTATCACACATGTGTAACCATGACTCAAGGCTTGGAAGGATTTCCTGGGCCTGTGGCACCCCCTTAGCACCACTTCATCACATAATACTGCACCAGCTGTGAAATCTGGGGGGTGTTCTCCCCCTGCGCTCACAGGGCAGCTGCACCGCTCCCCGGCTGCTGCTATTTCACAGCATGTGCTGTGTCCCATTCATTGGCAAAGAGCCCGAATAGAGACAGCGGCAGGGCCAGACTCAAGAGCTGTCCAAAGGTAGCCACGTGTTGCTTCCTTGCATTGGAAACACAAGGAGAAAAAAAACACCCAGCAGCTGCATTCGAGCTGTGGGCCACAGCTGAGCCATCTGCAGCCTACGCAACATAAATCAGCGGCCAGTTGTCAGGTCCGACAGTTCGGCTTTTGATGGAAATGACGAAAGTCAAATAAATGAGATTTATGCAGCCGGTGGACTGCCAGTAAGATTTCTCAGCTCTTTGGTTGTGCATTTGCATAGACAGAGCGCCTTGCAGGGCAAGCAGAGATGTCCGTCCTCGCTGTTGGTGTTCTGGGGCGGTCCAGCTTTTCCAGCAGCGGGGATGGGATGCCAGGGGACAGGAACACCTCACAGAGGTCCTGCTGAGACAAAAGCACGCCAGCCCGAGTGCTCGACTGAGAAAATGTTTGATTTTGGGCTTCACCCTCTGCCCTGGTAGCTGTTG